TTTTTTTTTGGCTATTGCTACAAATATCCCTGTGCAACTTAAGACTGGTTTTGTGGTCCAGGGTCACATATGAATTTATATGAGCTAGGCTTAAGTATGTTGCTAATCCAAAATTGAACTCTGGTAAGCATAAAAATGCATAGTATTTTCATGCCATATTCGTGTGTGCTAACTATTTTATTGATACATTTTGGTACTGAATGATTTATGAGGATGAATTCTAATTATTCACATTTTTCTCATGTCATCTGCCATCTTGGATGTTTTTTGTAAGTGAGCTTGCCACAGTGTATTGCTGAATGGCCTTTAAGTTTAAGAACTATGAAATGAAATTATTCTAGTATTGTGTAAACTGCTAAATTAAAACTGTTAAACCCCGCCGTACCTCACGTGGTGTTCTAGAGGCATCCAGGCATCCTCAAAACAAAAAGAGAAGAACAACATAAGACAGATATGTTCTTGAAAAGCAGCTAAGGTATGCAGGATGATGCACAAAGGCACACTTTTTTTTACTTCTCAAGCTGAATGCCTTATGCATGCACATAAACTTGAGTAAAAGGCTTCTCACCACATTTGTTCACACAAACATCCGTCTTCTTGTTGAAGAGTAATGTGCCCTCAGGACAGAAGCAGCCCTCTGTGGGCATTGTAATAGTGTTCTGTTCAGGTCTGCAATTAAAAAAGTATTTACACTTTTTTTTATTACACACATATCATCTAAGATTAATTCCAATAAACATCTGCATAACAAGTTTTATTAACTCTTAAACTGCATAATAAGAGTGTTTTTTTTCCCAAGTACATGTCTGTCATATTCCAATCCCTCAATTTACAATACTAAAACAGTAAACGTTCATATCCACAAATGTCTTAATTATTTAAAAATTTGGATAAATGGGCATACATATCAGCACAGGTTGGTGGCTCAGCTCGGCCACAAGGATTGAAAACTTTATCTACTGGACATTCAATATCTGGTGGAAGAAAAGACAAAATACAGCACTTAAATAATCTCAATAGCTTCCAAAAGTCTGGGATCACAAAGATCAAAAATCTCACATAAAAAAAGAATTTAAAGCCAGAAAGTTACAACAGAAAGTTAAGCAATTTGGAGAAACCTAAAGAAAGAGTTTGATATAACATTTATAAAATGCAACTTACTGCAAAGGTAAGTGTAGTTCCTCCAGTGTATGCAGATCCCTAATTGAGAGCAAGCCCTTGCGTATGTCTGAAGACTGGTACACACCACAGCAGGGTTGCTCATATGACAACTGTCATATTCACATGCTAAAAAGAAGTTTTTGGGGGACACATGGGAATGGCACGCTTTGAACAACCTGAGAAAGGCAGTAGTAGTAAATATCACTTCGGAAGCTCCATATATTGAAATTTATAATAAAAACATCACACAGAATCCACTCACTCGCTATCAAGGAGGTTGCAGTCAGGATGAGCCTGGCAAGGCTTAGATGTAAGTTTTGTATTATCCCAGGCGGAATATAATGCAGTTGGTGGAGTGCAAATTTCATAATTCGCCCCAATGGCTGGCCAGTAATCCGCCATCACTGCACAGTCGTCCACCAAGATCCCTCCAGGGATCATGCAGTCATCAGCCTTGTTGTTGTTGCATGTTCCTTAGTGAGAATTATTTGGAATAATTTAGATGGACAATGAATAAAAAAATCCCTCGTATACCATCCACCAGTGGTGGGCTGTCAGGGATAGCAAAGCCTTCTCTGCTGGCCTAAACACTATCAGAATCACTGACATAGTTTTAATATATTTTTCCAATAAATGTGTATTTAATTTTTTCCAATAGTCTATTCTCGTTATTTCATAGCGTTTCTCTTGGTTGCGCTGCTTCCAGTAGTGTATTTTTATATTAGAGCTTTTGTCCAATCATATTTCAGCAATCGTGTTGCCAGGGTCAAAGAAATCTGCCTTAAGGCCTTCAGAATCAACAGTGCTGGCGTCTGTAGTTTAAAATAAAAGGCAAGGAAACCGTTGCTTTAACCAATCAGATTTCAAGTTGGCGACACCGGGGCCATCTAGCAGGCGTACAATAACATCAGCATTTTCACGTCCTTTGATTAGATGGTCAGGGAGCATACTAGTAGTCAGAGCTAAACAGCACACAGTAAATCATTTTTGTTTTCACCGTATTATTACTGTTTTCTCGGGTGTCTTACTGTATACGCTGTGTACAGTATGTTATAGTAGATTTTCAGTGCATTCTGGAAAAATATTTGCCTACTGTAAATCTAAATACAGTAGTAAATGACCGCGAAAAACAACCACACACCTCCTCGGCAATGGCTCTGTGATAAACTCATCGTGAAGAAGAAAACCACGAGAGTACGGTAGGTTCATTTTCATTTTTTGACTTTTCGCTTTATGCGTTTTATTCTGATGTTATTTGCAAGATATAAAGCTACGTTTAATTTTCCGTAAGCATATCTCATACGCTCAGTTTCCGAGTCAAACTGTATTAACCGGCCTTTTCCTCCCGGCCGCAGCAGCTAGGATACGTTAAAACACATGTAAACACTTGTTTCATTGTTTTGTATGAATTATTTGAATGTTACTTGCTCACTTTCCCAGTAAAGCTGTGCTAACTAGTATTTTCCTCCCGCAGCGCGCTGACAGACCGGTGGGGAGACTCGTGAAGACGAAAAGCCGTACGAGTATGTTAAATTGTTAGGTCAACTTTAAAACATATGTAATCACATAATTTGTTTTTTACCAATGTTGTTTGCAAGGTATAAATACGTTTAAGTGAATAAATGTCTGTAAGAACATCGGGTGGACTGTATTTTTGTCATTTTATTAGGTTAATGCTTCAGCTAGAGATGATGTACGTTGTGCAGCTGTGGCAACTTATTTGGGTTTCTTGCTTTAGTAATTGCATTCATTCTCATTACATGAGATAACTGTCTGTGATGCAATGCTCTGTTATACTGCATTTCTGTATAATATTTATAAAATCATGACATGCATGGTCCGCCACTGTCATCCACATCCACCATCTATACAAAAATATGGGGGTGGCTGACTTACCACAATGACCTTGTGTGTTGTTTCCAAAGTGCTCAAATGGCAAACTGATGCCAAAGCCAGTAGCTCCAAATGTTAAATTAACACCCAGCTGTGGAATACTCAGGATCAAGTCTAGGCCTGAGCTTATAACTCTCACACCATTACGAGAATATGGCAGCCGTAACTTTACATTGTTCTCAAAAGCCTGTTATGACAGGAGACAATGACAAGAAAATGTTAGGATACTTAGTAATGCAGACAAAGCATGTTATTCATTCCAAATCTAGAAAGTCTCACCTCTAGGTCTGCACCTCCTATGAGATTGTTATTCGTAAGATTTATGACTAGTTTGTTGTAAGACACAATAATAGATCTGGGACAGGATACATGCTCAACAGGGTCACAGTAGACACTGTCGATGTAGATCTCCAAATGGTATTGAGGCCTAATTTCCTTCATTAATATATAAGTGCAGTTTCCTTGATAATTGTAGAATTGTCCATCAAATGTGACATAATGCGGGTCACCCCAGCCTTCACAAAAGCCTAGAATAGGATAGTGTGAAAAATAAAGACAAAAACAGCATTCAATAATTTGAACTGAAAAAGCTACTTGAATTTAGCAAACACTAAGGGCCAGATGTACTAACAGCTTGTGCCAGCGCAAACCTTCTTTTTGCATTAAAAAAAACTACTGTCAGGATTTACTAAAGGCATTCAGTGAAAAATAAGCAATGAAAGGTGTGGACAGTAATTTTTGTGGCTGATCTTACTGCATATGCATTTGTAGAAGTTTCAGATGCGAAATTTAAGGGAGAAGAATATTTCAATGAATCATGCGTGATTTAGGGCACCAGGGCTGGAGTGGGAGTCATTTTCAGCCCTGGAGTTTCATGCCTTAGAGCGGCCCACTTTAGTTCACGACTGACTATAGCTATTACAATAATGTAATTAAAACTTCAGTATATAAGTCTGCAATAGCGCACTGTTCTCTACAGACTTGTAATTCATTATATTTTTTCTACAGCTTTGTTTTTTTGTTTGTTGTTTTTTTACTGGCCTTTTCAGTGCCGCCTTTGCGCTTTCTATTATACATTTTTTAATCTATTATTTTTTGCTCGCATATCTCCAACAAAATATTTGTAGGCCTACTGTACCATAATGTCTGCCTGCAGTTAAAAAGTTCTCAGAAATAATCACATTTGTTTTGCTTAACCTATATTGTAAAAAGAATTTTAATGTCATACAAAAAAAAAAAAGTAATCAGCCTGAGTAAATTGTACCATTATAAAATCGTGACTACACAATTAGTGTAGTAATTTAGGAGGTGAAAATACTGTGAAATTACATACATACAAATGGCAAGAAATTTGAAAGCATAACAACTGAACGTCTATGAAACGTCTATGCACTTACATTTTTTAACTAAAACGGCTATTATTGCAACCATGTGCACAAAAATAATGATTAATTATCAATTGAGAATTTGTTATTCATATGGTCTGGTGGTCATATGGCGTATGCCTGCGAATACGGGACAAACTGTGTTATAGCTTTCATATGGGACGCTTCTTTGATGCCTTAAATACGGGCATCCATATTTCAACCCCATAGCAGTGGCATGACCGGCCCTCGCGGCCAAAAAACAGACCGGTCTACCGGGAATTTTCCCGGTGCTCCCGATTAGCCAATCTGGGCCTGTAGGGCACTTTCAGGGCACTTTCACACTAGCACGTTTGGTGCGCACCCGGGTTCAATTGACGTCAGATTTCGGTACATTTGGCTAGTGTTAAAGCTGTCATGCAAATGCGGGTGCACACCGGGGTACTGAACCCGAGACTACCTGAAGGATGTGGTCTGAGTTCGATTGCACTCGAACTGTGGCGCAGTTAGCATGAATATGAAAGCAACACGGACTCGGGTTTTAGCTGATTACAATGTATTTTCTTCAATAAAACACATATAAGTGATGATAGTTTTGCTGATTTATCTTGGATTCGAGCGAGAGTGAGCCTGCAGTGTAATGAATGGTAAATGAATGGTAATTCGCACATACAGTAAACCCCTATGTCGTTTACTCTGCTGTGTATAATAGCAACAAATGAATTAAAAAAACAATATATTGACCTACGTACTGTTATCTATCATATGTTCTGCACGTTTGTGATGACGTAAGATGACCGCAAATGCACTGGGGTTCGATAGAATTAAGAGAGTGTGAAACCAGACCAACGCTGCGGGGGGTGCCGGGAACTATCGCACTCAGGTTCGAACCACAGCAAACGAGCCCAGTGTGAATGCCACCATAATAAGGTTTGTGGTAGTCAATTTACTGGTATTTGTGCCATTATTTAATGCCCAAAAAAGCATGTCTTAACCAATCTTGCACTTGACATGGCTGTGATAGTTGCTGCTTGGAGGAGGCACCAGAGAGAACAGAGAGCTCATGGTAGAAGTGAGAACATTTTCTCCATTTGTGTTAATTTATGTGGAATGTCAACGTTATCTGAAAATATCGATTACCAAGCCACAAATTTTTGATGCTCTTGTAGATTGTGTTGCTCATTATGGAAATGAGCTGGCTGCATCTGTGTTCTTTAATCTGGCATTGTCAGTAGATGACAGTCAGTAAATGATTACAGAATTAAATGTAAAGATTGCAAAGAGCAGTTTACTCACAGTCACATGCATAATATTGGCAGCAGTGGTGTTCATCATAGACAAGCACTGTTTTTTTTCCATTTTCACAGGTGATGTTCTGCAGTGGAGGGCATTCAAATTGGATAATTTCAATGATGTTGTCTTTTATGCACCTCGCCATGGTGCAGTTACACAAGAAGAAGGTCTCGTTGGTCTAGTGATAACGAAAAGTGAGACAGAATTAGAGAGACTGATAAATGCAAAATTGCAGTGTAGACAATGTTGATTTCATTAGAATATTTAAATGTCACCATAGATAGTCATAAAAATACATTCCCCATGTAGAAAGAATAACAACACCTTTATTTTGTCAATTAAAAGAAAGTATTAAACTATACGTTTTTTTTCCATTCAGGACAGTCGTACGGCGGAGTTTGTGTAGGGGTAGATGCAGGAGTAGGAGTAGGTGATGTGGTTGATTCTGTTGTTGATGTAGTAGGCTTTGTGGTAGGTGTTGGTGTAGGGGAAGATGATGTGGTAGGTGTTGGTGTTGTAGAAGGTTTCGTGGTAGTTGTTGTTATAGGGGTAGGTGATGTGGTTGATTTTGTTGTAATAGGCTTTGTTGTTGTTGTCGGTATAGGGGTAGGTGATGGGGTTGCTTCTGTTGTTGTAGTAGGCTTTGTGGCAGTTGTAGGGGTAGATGATGTGGTTAATTCTGTTGTTGCAGTAGGCTTTGTGGTAGTTGTTGGTGTAGGGGTAGATGATGTGGTAGGTTCTGGTGTTTTTGGTGTTGTTGTAGTAGGCTTTGTGGTAGTTGTTGGTATAGGGGAAGGTGATGGGGTTGCTTCTGTTGTTGTAGTAGGCTTTGTGGTAGTTGTTGGTATAGGGGTGGGTGATGAGGTAGATTTTGGTGTTGTTGCTGTTGTTGTACTAGTAGGCTTCATGGTAGTTGGTGTAGGGGTAGGGGATGTGGTTGATTCTGTTGTTGTAGTAGGCTTTGTGGTAGTTGGTGTAGGGGAAGGTGATGTGGTAGATTCTGTTGATGTAATAGGCTTCAAAGTAGTTGTTACTCTTGTTGTATTATAAACTTGTTCTTGTGTTGAATGAGTTGTTTTTCTTGTTTCTTCAGTAGAAGGAATTATTATTTCAGTCGTTGATCCAGACTGAGTTGGGGTAGGGGTAGATGATGTGGTTGGTTCTGGTGTTGTAGTAGGCTTTGTGGTAGTTGCCGTAGCGGTAAATGATGTGGTAGATCCTGTTGTTGTAGTAAGCTTTGTAGTAGTTGTCGGTGTAGGGGTAGAGGATGTGGTAGATCCTGTTGTTGTAGTAGGCTTCATGGAAGTTGTTGGTGTACGGGCGGATGATGGGGTAGGTCCTGTTGTTGTAGTAGGCTTTGTGGTAGTTGCCTGTGTAGGGGTGGATGATTTCTGTTGTTGTAGTAAGCTTAGTGGTAGTTGTCGGTGTAGGGGTAGATGATGTGGTTGGTTCTGTACTTGTGGTAGGCTTTGTGGTAGTTGTTTCAGTAGAAGGAATTATTAATTCAGTCGTTGATCCAGACTGAGTTGGGGTAGGGGTAGATGATGTGGTTGGTTCTGGTGATTTAGTAGGTTTCATGGTAGTTGTTAGTATAGAAGTAGGTGATGTGGTTGATTCTGTTGTTGTAGTAAGCTTAGTGGTAGTTGTCGGTGAAGGGGTAGATGATGTGTTTGGTTCTGTTGTTGTGGTAGGCTTTGTGTGATGTGGTTGATGCTGTTGTTGTAGTAGGCTTCATAGTAGGCTTCATGGTAGTTGTCGGTGTGGGGGTGGATGATGTGGTAGGTCCTGTTGTTGTAGTAGGCTTTGTGGTAGTTGCTGGTGTAGGGGTAGGTGATGTGGTGGATTCTGTTGTAGTAGGCTTTGTGGTAGTTGCCGTAGGGGTAAATGATGTGGTAGATCCTGTTGTTGTAGCAAGCTTTGTAGTAGTTGTCGGTGTAGGGGTAGATGATGAGGTAGATCCTGTTGTTGTAGTAGGCTTCATGGAAGTTGTCGGTGTAGGGGCGGATGATGGGGTAGGTCCTGTTGTTGTAGTAGGCTTCGTGGTAGTTGCCGGTGTAGGGGTGGATGATGTGGTTGATGCTGTTGTTGTAGTAGGCTTCATAGTAGGCTTCGTGGTAGTTGTCGGTGTGGGGGTGGATGATGTGGTAGATTCTGTTGTTGTAGTAGGCTTTGTGGTAGTTGTTGGTATAGGGGTAGGTGATGTTGTTGATTTTGTTGTAGTAGACTTTGTGGTCGTTGTTGGTGTAGGGGGAGATGATGTGCTAGGTTCTGGTGTTGTTGCTGTTGTTGTAGTAGTAGGCTTCATGGTAGTTGGTGTAGGGGTAGGGGGTGTGGTTGATTCTGTTGAGGTAATATTTCTGTTGTTGTGGTAGGCTTTGTGGTAGTTGTCGGTGTTGGGGTAGATAATGTGGTAGGTCCTGTTGATGTTGTAGGCTTTGTGGTAGTTGCCGTAGGGGTAAATGATGTGGTAGATCCTGTTGTTATAGTAAGCATTGTAGTAGTTGTCGGTGTAGGGGTAGATGATGTGGTAGATCCTGTTGTTGTAGTAGGCTTCATGGAAGTTGTCGGTGTAGGTGCGGATGATGGGGTAGGTCCTGTTGTTGTAGTAGGCTTCGTGGTAGTTGTTGGTGTGGTGGTGGATGATGGGGTAGGTCCTGTTGTTGTAGTAGGCTTCGTGGTAGTTGCCGGTGTAGGGGTGGATGATGTGGTTGATGCTGTTGTTGTAGTAGGCTTCGTGGTAGTTGTTGGTGTGGTGGTGGATGATGTGGTAGGTCCTGTTGTTGTAGTAGGCTTTATGGAAGTGGTTGGTGTAGGCGTGGATGATGTGGTTGATTCTGGTGTTGGTGTTGTTGTAGTAGGCTTCGTGGTAGTTGTTGGTGTAGGGGTAGATGATGTGGTTGATGCTGTTGTTGTAGTAGGCTTTGTGGAAATTGTTGGTGTTGGTGACGCACATATGTAACAACAGTAAACTCGTATTTCATAGTCAACACATTTATAGGGGCGGTGAGTTTGTTTGTTTTTTTTACACATCAATCCATATGATACATTGCATTGGGCAACTTGATTTGTTGACTGAATATAATCTTCAAACCTCATGTGAGGTGCGCCCACAGCTCTACATTCAATATGTTCTGGCTGTTCACAGATTTTTATTCCACTTCCTGCAATGTTTCCATAAGTCTCTAAGTCATCATATCCCCCTAATGCAGGATTATATACATTAATCCAGTCAGACCACTCACATATAATACATGGTGACGTAGTCTCAGCTGTTGTTGATGAAAATGGGGTAGTTGTTGGTATAGGGGTAGATGATGTGGTAGGTTCTGGTGTTGGTGTCGTTGTAGTAGGCTTTGTGGTAGTTGTTGGTATAAGGGTAGATGACGTGTTTGATTCTGGTGTTGGTGTTGTTGTAGTAGGCTTCGTGGTAGTTGTTGGTATAGAGGTAGATGATGTGGTTGATTCTGGTGTTGTTGTTGTTGTCATAGGCTTCATGGTAGTTGTTGGAATAGGGGTAGATGATGTGGTTGATTCTGGTGTTGTTGTAGTAGTAGACTTTGTGGTAGTTGTCGGTATAGGGGTAGATGATGTGGTTGATTCAGTTGTAGTAGGCTTTGTGGAAGTTGTTGTTATAGGGGAAGATGTTGATGTTGTTATCACTGGACATTCCTCCACACAGATCTGATTTTTCTCATCAAAAATTGGCTTATCCTCAGGACATTTTGGATAACATCCTGCAATAAATAAATAAATAAATAAATACATATTGTACTAAAATTATGACCAAGAAGGGCCAAATTTCCCTCAAACACTCGTTATATTACTAAGTTCTAAAACGCCCTAAATGCCATATTGATCATTTTTAAGCTATTAAGGCAACTTCTTACTTTTGCTTAATATAAAACGTACACTTCACACTTATATACTGTGGTCAACCATCTGTCTGTATCTTTTTATCAATTAGATGTCTACTAGGGTTGGGCCGATAGATGATGCCATCGTCCATCGCCGATGGCTGACAGACATCACGATGTTGAACAGGTGTTGGATAATAAATATGTTACAATAAAATTAAAATAGCCTAATAATAATTCAATTTAATGTTTTAATCCTCTCACCAGCCACTTCCGCACAGCTTTCAAAGTAAACTCAATCGCGTATGAGTGCGGACGGACGATCTTGACACGATCTTGTCTCAACATTCACCTTGTGTCTGCACTGTTGTACGTGGACCGTCCACTCGGTCACAAAAATTGGGCTGCACGTGGAGGGAAAAAATTGGTCTGCATGTGGACGAAAATCCCCCCTTACCCGATGTCATCGTCCATCATGATGTTGCACTGTAGACATCGTCAGATGCCAATTTGGTAGATATCGCCCAACCCTAATGTCTACCACTACATTAAGTCTGTAGCGCCTTTTGGTTAAAAACTTACATGTAAAACTCAAAAACCATATATGTCTGTACACAGCAGGCTACATATGGTGCTTTGATCCTCCAAAAACAGTGACTAAATACATTAAGCAATGTTAAGCTCCCTTAACATTGCCCATAATGGGCTGTTATGCAGGAATAAATGCTTAATGTACAAATATTGTCTTTACTTGTAGATTGCGGAGTTGTTTTGTAACTAGAAAGTGTTTAAGAAAGAGAAGTGCGAGAGACAGAGATAGATATTGGTATAATTACTTAAGTTTACATTCTTAAAACATTCTTAACTAGTTACCAGAAATTAAATATAATGATTTTACAACAATATAACAAAAACATTTTCTATTACTTTCCACCAAAAATGTTGTTCATTAATGTTTTTGTTCCTTGAACCATTTCTAATCCCAGTTTATCACTAAATATAAGGTCAAGAAATACTCAGTATGCATACTCAGTCTTCAAACATGCAAACTAGTGTGCACCGAATGACAACTCACCTTCCAGGTTGGGTAAACTGTTATTGCAGGTATTAGGGTTGAGACAGGTTTTGTAGCAAGGTGTATGACAAGGACTGTAATGCCATGTGCAATCATCTGTTCCATTATTGTAGTAGTCACAGTACACAGCTGATATGGAAACATGGATATAAGTATGAACATGTACAGTTGAACTAAATGAAATACAATAAAACTGCAGTACATTGTTGAAAGAAAGAAATCACTTAAAGCAACGATCAGGCAATCAATTCATTCACATTATCTTTTTTTTTGTGAAAACACTAGCTGAAGATTCAGAATCTGCATGAAAAATCACATTTAAAGGGGTGGTTGACTGTTTTTTTTATAGGCTTGATTGTGTTTATGGGGTGCAGTCTAACATGTGTTAATGCTTCTTTTGTTAAAAAACGCATTATTTTCCACATAATTTACCTTTATTCCACACCGCTCTGTCCCTTCTCCACTGAACGTGCTGATCATTTCCTTCTTTTATGAAGCCCCTCCCTCAGAAATACACGATGGGCTCTGATTGATTAGCTGGCCCAGTGTGTTGTGATTGGCTAAACCGCCTCTAGCGCACGTCTAAGCGTCCCACCCCTCAACATAGCAGCATGTGCTCCGGTTGTATTGTAAACAATGACGTCGTCTATATTGCTTATCAATTTGAGCCCGATTGAGAAGCAGAGGATATTAGTGAAGAGGATCGCGCAGAACCTGTGCAAGCA